TTAAGCCATACACGTATGAAAGAAATATTCTCTCAACATTTCCAACATTTATTCATATTTTCTTGGAAGCAAATATAGGGTTGACATTCATTAACAGTTTGTAAGTCTTCTCAAAGCCAAACATCTGCTTGGCATCCAATTGTGTTCACAAATCTTTTTCTTTAAAGGAATGTCTGTTGAGCATTTATTAGCTTCATTTGTGCTTTATGGCCACCTTTTAAGTAGAACATTTATGTACAGAAATCCTTAAAGTTAAAGACAATCTCAAAGATTCAAGAAGTAGGTCTGTTCTGCCTTGACCCTTTATTTAATGCACTCATGCTATGACAGAAAATATTCAAAGTGTCCCTTTAGACCTCTTCTTGAAGGACCTCTTGATTGGAGTAAGGTGAAAGGTTTTGCCTGGAATGCCACTCCCAAGAGACAACATTCACTGAAGTGTTTTTTATACACTGTGGGGAAATGGCCTAAAAGAGGGTTAAACTTTGATTAGAGATGTTGCAAGTAGGGAAAAATGCTTACTTCAATTTAACTTCTGCTTTTCAGAAGACATGAGTACATAAATTATGTAGAGGAACAGTGATTACTAGACAGTCTAAAAGCTGAAGGCTCTAGGCCAATTTTCAACCAACTGTCACAGAACATAAGTTTCAAAATATGTTTAAACTAAACTGACAACTACAGAAAAAATGTAAAATTTTTTGATAGGTTGGGTTATGTGAACTGTTGAGGACCTCAGAAACCACATGCTATTGAACACGCAGCAACACTCCAATGCAACATTCCCACTCTTTTCTGGAAGAGATATTAAAAGAGGTAGAACAGATGCTTCCCCAAATTAAGATGATCCAAGTAGTAGAAAGACTCTTCCCAGCACAGAGTGGCCAACAGAAGTAGGGTTCATCCAAAAACTGAAAGTGCCATGTGAGGTCCTCGGTCTCAGGAACTTTCAAGCTGGGGTGAGATAACCCAGGAAGGGTGCACGTGTGTGTGAGTTTCCATCTTTCTGTATTGGAGCAGCTCCACTCTTGTTTGCTTTAATTGTTATCTTCCAATCTCATAATTTTACAGTTTGCAAAACCAAGGCCAGAGAGATTTCATTAGGTATGCAAAGTGCCACAAAGGTAGATCTACAACAAGCATTTTGTGAATCTCCAGCTAAAATGCTACTATAGTAACTGTATAAGCTGTAAGACCTTGGGGCATAAAGCATTGGTAATTGAGATCAGGAATTACTTATTTACTACAGCTACTCCCCAGGATAGGTGGTCTTGATCTTAGTTATATCCACAAATCTCCAAAAGTCTTAGAGCAAGCTTTTTTTCCCCTTAGTCTGTTCAAGTAGTTTCAGGGAGTCTGTGAAACCCCCAAAATGGTGTGTGCAATTTTACGTGTCTGTGTACATGTGTATTCTGTAGGAGATGGTCCATGGCTTCCAATTGTTCTTTAAAAGGATCTGTGATCACACCAAATGATAAAAATCAGTGGACCTGACCAAGGGAATAAAAGGGAAGCAGCACCATAAAGGAGCAGTCTACGTTTATAACCAGGAAAACTGATCAGAAATTAACTTAAAATGAGATGAATGTTTCTTATTGAATGACTCAGGTTATGCAGGTGAACGCACACAATAGTAAAAACAAAAGCTGCACGGTATCTATGAAAATACAGTACTTGTTAGACTGACAAAAACAGATTTCACCCTACTTTTTGGATTTTACATACTTAAAAAATATTTGAGGTATAACATGAAACCTACACTTTGTAAACCAAAACCAGGACTCCAAAGCCCTGAATAATTTTGGGGTGGCGGGATTAGTTCTGTCTCTGAATATTCCCTTCAGAAAATGGTGGTGAGTGAAAGATGTAATAACTACTACATCAATTCAGCTGTAGACTCTTGAGGGAAAATACTCATCTTTATAACTGTGCCAATTAAGCAAACATTAAAAACTGCCTTCTGCCCTTATGCTGATAATGTCAGGGGACAAAGTGGCTGATGTAATCCTGAAGATGGAACTAAAATGGAGAGAGCCTCATTATCCATTACGGGAAGGCTGTCCTCTCTACTTTTACTCCAGCTTTGGCTAAAGAGAAGACTGCAGAGGAAGATTAGATTCTGAATTATCTTCATGTGTGTGGACTGACAAGCAGTAGATTTGAAAATAGTTTAAATTTGAAGGAAAAACACACAAAGCCAGCATGGACATAAACGAATTTGGGAAACAGTACTGTACTGTATTTTGAAATAATATTCAATATTTATCTGGAATGTCTGTCTTTTAATGGAGTAAAATAGAGAATTTCCTGAGGCCAGGAGATTGTAATCATCTGAGAATCGAAGAGTGACACTTGGGTTTAATTGTAAAAATGATATGCAGCCTTTTAATGGAGTAAAATAGAGAATTTCCTGAGGCCAGGGGATTGTAATCATCTGAGAATCGAAGAGTGACACTTGGGTTTAATTGTAAAAATGATATGCAGAATTGCCCACCTATTCCTATCCAGGGACAGGGTATTATCAAGGAAATTATACTTCGAGGTCAGTAAGAAAAATGACAAGAAGATGGTCTGTGCCAATAGTTTAAATGCCAAGAGGCACCATGCCAAGAAGGTGCACAGACATAAATCCAGCAGTGGCTCTGATGTAATTATGGGCTTAGACCAACTCTCAAAGCCAGGCCGGAAGCTGAGCCATAGTCCTTATGGGAAAAGAGAGTATGAAGGTAATTAGAAGAAAAAAAAGATATTTTACTTTAAAAAGAAAAAAAGCCCTAAAACTCTAAATAAAACTCAGCAGCTGCAGAGGGAACTTCATGGTCCTCAAACATGCATAAAATAGAACTGAGGGAGGAAGGGGCCACACACATCTTTATAAGCTCCATTTCAGAGCTGATTTGCACGTGTATGGCAGAGTGTGGCTCCCTCCCAGAGGCTGGAGCCTGGAGCAGCCCTGAGGTCCATGTGACCCGTGAGCATCCAGAACGAGGATTTGGGGAGGGGATTTCACAAGCACAGAACATAGTTTTTCTCCCTTGACTCTGCTTTCCAGTTTTTCTCTCCCTCTGCTATTGTTTAGTTTTGTGGTTCAACTTTTTGGAGAACGGTGGGATGGGAGGGGATTTCACAAGCACAGAACATAGTTTTTCTCCCTTGACTCTGCTTTCTAGTTTTTCTCTCCCTCTGCTATTGTTTAGTTTTGTGGTTCAACTTTTTGGAGAACGGTGGGAGGTACTGTGTTAAGCAATGCACTAAGAATGAGGCTCAGCTGCAGTGACTGAATTGTGAAAATCGGCCTCCCACAACTTTCAAAACAAATTGCGCTTCCACTTAAAACAAAAGGAAAGATACACAAAGCAGCACAGGTAGCAAGTCTTGCTCATTGGTGTATGTGCAGCACTGTGCCCAAGCACACAGAGGGCACATAACAGATGCCGACTCCAGTGAATGGGCCATTTTATCGAAACAGCTCTAGATTCTGTTCTGTGTTGTTTCCAAATAGGAGTCAACAGTCCTAACACTTATATGCTTTTGAGCAATCTTTTGTTGACCCTATGATCCCATTAGAGAAAGTGATTAAATGACCAAATCTGGCACAAAATTATCCTGAGAGAAGAGTATCAGAGCTGAACATTAGTAATACTGTCAAGATATTAGCAAGGAACCAAGAACAGTCACTGTAAAAACATAGTTTGAAAAGCGTGAGGATAACAGTAAAAGTGAGAGTCAAAATAATTTCCAACTCTTTCTTCATGATTAAGCAAAGAGCCTGATTATTACTAATATTAAACATCTGTACAATTATATTGTCCAAAAGCTTTATGATATTATTTATTAATACATCCCACAGAGTAGAAAAAGAAGTTATATGACTAAAATAATTAGAGTCCCGGGAATAATAACCAACTCTCAGTTTTCTAAGTATGATATAATTTTATAGGCTGAAATGACGCTCTTAAAGAGTATTTATTGACTATGGTCTATATTATATTTCAGAAAGTATACTGCAGTTGAAATTTACAAAATATCTACAAAGTATGGCTTATAAATTCAGATACAATATCATATATAGGATATCTAAGAGGATAAGCCCAGACAAAAAAGTTTTAAAAAGCATAACATTTCTTTATTAGCAAACATATTTTAAAGAAAATAGTAAGAACAAATAGAAACATTTTAAAGATAATGTTAAAAGCACAGATTCTGAGAAATTCTTCAGAAGCCCTGTTAACATTTTGTCGCCAGGAAGAGAAAACAATTGGAGAAACTGCTACCCTGGACCTAGTGTGACCAGTGGTCACATTCAATAAGCAGATGATAAAAAGGTTTCATGGTGATCAGAAGGAGGGGACTGGGCATAGTCATGAACATACTTTAAATTCTAGGAAGACATTGTTTAAACAATTTATACAAAGAGATGGGGAAGATTCCCCAACGAGAAACTCACGCAGGTCTGGAGCTAAGTAGTTTACAAAAATTCAGTTCTACAGATTAGGCCCGGAGAACTCAAAACATATTTTAACTTAGGATATAGGCAATATTACAAATTAGAGGGCAAAGGATATATAGTCAACAAATAGGCCTCACAAAAATACCCAGTTATTTGGAAAATGATTCAGTTCGTACCTCCCTTGACACCATTCCCCCAAAATAAGGCCTTGTATCAGAATCAAAGATTTAAGTACAGAAAACTGAATGCTTACAGAAATAATTCCAGATGGAAATGCAGGTAAATAATCAAATTTAAACAAGATAATAGCAAGTAACCTGTCGATTCAAGTTATGAACAATGCTTATTAATGATTGTTAAGACTCACTTTCAAATCTCTGCTAACAAATTCTGTCCCAGTTTGTGAACCTAGAATCTTGAGTGAATGAATTAATAAGCAACTTAACATTTACAAATTCTGGATAAGATAACTGCATGGAAATTTAAAAAATCAAGAATTTAGGATCAAGGCGTTTTTTACTGAAATCCGACAACGTTAAGGAGAACTTACCTGCAGCAAATGACAGCTTTGCATGACAAAGCTAAGTCCAGGAAATACTGTCGTACTCCAAAGGTTAAGGCATACTTGAGAGTTTTCCCATCAATTATAAGAGCAAAATCATTCTCTTTCCGAAGAGCATCACCAAGGGTAGTGCAGTGACGACTGAGAGTTTCCCTTGTTCCCTGCAAAATTAAACGGACAAAAACAGCATTGACATTTACACCCACTTGTTCTAGTAAGATGCCTTAAGGATGTTGGGCAACTACATTTAGTTCTTTTCAGTGCTTTTGATGTTTCAAAATACGTTTACATACCTCTATTCATTTGATTCTCACAAAAGCACCTCATAGGAGACTAGACAAATGTTATCAGAAAAAGTAAGTTACTCGATTGAGTCACACATCTGTTCCCAGCAGGGTTTGGGAGTCGACTACAAGTCACCCATCCCTGCTGACTCTGTAGTCTTTGCTCATTATTCTAACCACACGATCACAATACTCCAAAAACATTTTCAGCAAATTTTCTTGTTAAGAAAAACCAAATTATTGTTCTAATTTATGAACTAGTTAAAATTGCTTTGCCATGAATCAAGGGAAAAAGTTGGGGAATATAATTTAAATAATTTATGGGTATTCTTTGAAAAGTACTCAACACTATGGAAATTTTATTCCCAGTAATGGAGAGGAGGAAATACAGGCTCTGTAATCTCTTGCCACTTCATGAATTGACTTCAATAACTTTAATCATGATTTCATGATGCTGTATTTTAGTTGGGGATGGTGACATGTGGCTTAGTAATCTTGATGGATCAAATAAAAGAACCCCTTGCATCAATGAAGAGTTCACTTTCAGACACAATAAAAACCTTTAGTGTCAAGGAAAGCTCTATTCACCCCAACTACACAGAAAGGATGTATTTGTCTCCTTCAGTCGAGAACTGCTTTCCCAGCTCTTCAAAGGGAAAAAGCTTCAAGATATTTTGCTTTTCTCCCCAAAGCCTGTAACTCTTCCTATAACCTAATGGGATCGACTTCTTGCTTCACAAGAGCCCTGACATTGTGAAGAAACACAACACTGGCTCTGCACAGGGAAATATAAGGAACGATTCCCCTCCTGTTAGACATTTGTTCTCCGTGCTAAGACTACAGTTATTTACACAGTAAAGACAAATATGTATTCATAAAGAATACCTAACAATAAGAATATAATATACTTATGTAACAATTTTTATTTTATTGACGGGAGATATAATTATTGTTCCACTTTAAGGATGTGGCACATTCATTTCAGTTATTTCGCAAAGAGTGTAGGTAATTACAATTTTATACTGAGGAATTTTGAAGGTGTTTCTACACTAGTATTTAAATGTGGTTCACACTATGCTCTGGAATTTCAGGATCTGTTTATCAAAATAATAGAACCATGGTGTACTATAAAGTAAGACTGCCCAACTTTCCCAATACTAGACCTTCTCTTAAAGTTCCCCTGTTCCCCACACACAGTGACACAAAGGACCACCATATAGCAGCATTCTTTGCAACATTTTCTGTCCACACTTTACATAGGGGGGAAGTAGCTATTTTAACTTAATGGCCTCATCCTCCTATTTCCTGCTGGAAATTTTTGGCCTGAGAGGACTTAAGTAAAGGAGGTGAAATATGTAAAATTCTGACAGCAAAATTGACTAATGAAAATCTATAGAAGATTAGCCTGGATTGTCTTAAAAGCAAATTCATACAGATGAAATAAACAAACAAGTCAGTCAATAAACTGATAAAAAATAAAATAAAGTAAAATAATATTTAGCATGTCCTACACACCAGGCACAGGTATAGGTACAACATTCAAGTTAACACGTGTGACAACTCTGAGCAGGAGGCATGACTGTTACCTCCATTCTGCAGATGAGGAAGATGAGACAGTGTGTGTCAATTCCTTGCTTAAAAACACATGGCAAAAGCAGTGAAATCAAACTCAGAATTAAATTTCTGTGTTAGCTTGTCTTTCTCTACACAATCCAGCAAAAATCAGCAGACTTCAGACAGTACCAGGGTCAGCAAGTTATAAACGGAATGCCCACCCAACCCCTCTGCTGTTTCCCTTGAATCCTCATCATCTGTCTCTCATCTCGTCTTTACCGCCAACAGAGATTCTCTCTATAAAACAAATTTAAAACACAATCATGTCTCTTCTTGCTCTAAAATCTTGCTATGGCTCTCACAGAACACGATAATGTCCAAACTCCTTAAAATGCCAACATGATAAAGTCTAAACAACTTAAAACGGCATTGAAGGCTTTCTGCAATCTAAACCCAACTAACTTGCCTTCACAGTTCCCTTCATAATCTTGATTCCCTTATTTCCCCTCTCCCTGGAATACCCTTTCCTCCAAGGGATAGCCCACTGCCTCCTAAAACCAAGCCCAACCACAATCACCCCATGCTAGCAAAACCCTTAGTTCATCGAGGGGAGAGACCACGTCTAACCTGCTTCCCAGCAACAAACGCAGTGCCTGCAATTATAGAAGCTCAGGAAACACGTATTTAATGAATGAGAGCACTGATAAATTCTGATCTCATCCCACTGGCAACACTCCATTTTCCCTTTTATTACCACTTCTGATGAGAGAGAGAGATATCGTCTTCTCCTTTCTCCCTAATTTTCTAGAGAACAAATAATCCATTACTTCAAGTCTTTTTTTTTTTTTCCTTTTTGTCTTTTCTCGTGACCGGCAACGGATCGCAACCCTCAGTGTCGCGCCCGTACCGGACTGGGACTGGCCACGGGATCGCAACCCTCGGTGTTGCTCTTGCCCCTCGCTCAGCCAGTGAGCGGCCGGTCTGTATGTGGGATCCGAACCCTCGGCGGGAGCGCCACCGCGCTTCCCAAGTGGCACACTACAGCAGTGCGCCACCGGGCCGGCCCCTACTTCAAGTCTTTTAAACAAAGGCACTGCTCACTAAAATGCCTCTGTATTTTTTTAAAAGCTATTACCCAAGTGACTTCTGAGCTGAAAACCTGAAATGAAACCTGAGATGGACTCAGGAGAACTTCAAATTTCTTTAAAGCTCAGCTGCAAAGCAAGACTGAAAGTCAAGTAAGCCCCAGAACTGTGAAGTGCCTTCATTAACCAACCTGTGGGATGCAGTCCCATGTTCCCCACTCTCCGTCCTTTCTACGGTGTTCTCTAACACCTTAAGATTTGCTGAAAAGTCTCTTATTTGTGGCATCAGTATCCCTGGGTTTTCTTGGTGACTGTCACAGATTTTCAGCAAATCAAAAGGTGTCAGGAAAAATGTAACAGAAACAACATTTCAGAAGGTGCAAAAACTTCCCACAGTGAATTCTGCAGTTAGCCCACCTAGGGTGCAAGGTAACAGCAGCAAAAAAAAAGCTGCAAACATTTTCTTATTTTAGTTTATCGTTTTCTTTTGTAAGTAGCTCTGTTGTTGGCTGTGTGCTGCCAGTTACAAGTTATATTTTATCCTTATTTACTGCCGGGAGTATTTTAAAATTCTTTTATTTATGAAAGTTTATTGCTTCTCCCCTAAGCCTGGGAGCCATACTTTATGGCCATATTGCACTGAAGCTTATCTCCTGTAGCTAAAGATAAATTTATTACTATATTAGCTGTTGCTTTGTTTTCTTTTTGGCTACTGAAGGGGGAAATGTTTAAACATTTAAACTTAGTGACTTGTGAAAGTGAAAATATATAAATGAGAAGCTACATCAGAAAAAAGGATAAAAGACCACATAGCGCAACCAAATAAAAGGTCTGCATCTCCTTGTTCTGCACATTTTTATTTGTAGGCTGAAAGAAAAGGAGCATCAGGAACATTGTGAGGTACAGACAAAGAGAAGTGGGACGGCTGGGGTTGAAGTCACCAATCAGGTATGGGAGGGAGCTGCAGGGCAAGTGGGACTCATGGGCACCTCCCCCAACCAGCACCCCACGGGGCTGGTCATTCCAGTCACCATTCAACTGCACTCTCCCTACACCCTGAGCACTGCACACAGCTAAGTGCTCGCTCGACACCCTGAGCCTCCCATCATGTTTTCCTGCCTTGCCAATTCACAATTGAGGCCATAGACAACACCACTTCTAGGTTCTCAGCCTTGAGAACACAGAAGTGACAAAGACTCCAAATTTGGCCTCTGTCACTTCAGCAAACATCTACCTGCTTTACTGAGAACAATTTATACCAGAAAGAATTCCCTCAACTTTCTTCCGTGAACCTCAAAACTTCCTGTTACCTAATCTGACCTAATTCTTCAGCTGGGGGAACAGCTGCCTTCTTCTCTCACCTCTGTCCCTCCCACTTCTCTTTGTATCTTTATTCTGCCCACTGGCACTATTTTTCTTTCTTCCTTTAAGGCTACATACAAGGTCACGATTTTCTTACTCAGTGAACAAATAAACAATGAACAAATAATCCAAGAAACGTTTTCTTGACCTTACTTTCCCTAAGTCCTCCAGGTAACACGAATACTTCTGTCTTTTTCCAAATACTTCATGTATACTTATACAACGTAGCATGACGTACCATACCTTACTTATTTTATTTCTATCTTCCCTTTGGGACTGAGGCCCTTGGTGAACAGGTAATAAAAGAATAACCAAATTATTAATGATTGGAGAACACCTTGTGGGTTTTCTCATGTGATCATTTTGAGGAGTGTTGTCCACTGCCTGTAAAACTCCTGTATAACCTTGGATATTCCTAATTAGAATAAAGAAAATGTTAACATGCTTACTTGTTCTAGAGGGTATGGAGAACAAAAAGGTAGTTATGATCTGACATCTACCTCTGCCTCAGTTAATAAATATTGTCCAATGAATATAACAGAATGAACATCCAGCCTCGCTACTTAGTGATCAAGTGTACAACAGTGGGCCAAGGAGAAGCAAACAATATCTATTTGGTTTATATGAAACACTCTTGGAAAAGGAAAAAAAAAAAAAAAGGAAACATGCTTGGTAGATAATTAAGCTAAGTAAAATTCCTCATAAAAATAACTGTGACCAGAAGGCCTCAACAAAGTTCCACTTGAAGCTTTAGGAAATAGCCTGGCAAAACAGATAACATGTTCATAGAATACATAAAATAGAATACCACCAGGGCAGTCTTTAAGAAATCAGAGACTGCCAGCTTTGTGGTAATCTTTTTCATTACTTTTATAT